CTCTAGTAGTTTCTTTGTAGACCCTTTTGTGTCTTCTAGGTATAGGATCATATCATCCGCAAATAGTGATAATTTAAGTTCTTCTTTTCCTATCTTAATGCTTTTAATTTCTTTTGTCTGTCTAATTGCTCTGGCCAGTATTTCGAGAACTATATTGAATAGAAGCGGTGAGAGAGGGCATCCCTGTCTTGTTCCAGATTTTAGAGGGAATGCCTTCAGTTTTTTTCCATTTAGAATGATGCTAGCCTGAGGCTTTGAATATATAGCTTTTACAATTTTGAGGTAAGTTTCTGTTATCCCTAGTTTTTCTAGAGTTTTGAACATAAAGGGATGCTGTACTTTGTCAAATGCTTTTTCTGCGTCTATCGAGATGATCATATGGTTCTTATCTTTAAGTCTATTGATGTGGTGAATAACGTTTATTGATTTCCGTATATTGAACCAGCCTTGCATCCCAGGGATGAATCCTACTTGATCATATATACAAATATATCATTTGATATATTTTTGTATACGATTTGCTAGAATTTTATTGAGGATTTTTGCATCTAAATTCATTAGGGATATTGGTCTGTAGTTTTCTTTCTTTGAGGTGTCCTTATCTGGTTTGGGAATCAGGGTGATATTGGCCTCATGGAATGAATTTGGAAGTTCTCCCTCTTTTTCTATCTCCTGAAATAGATTATGGAGTATTAGTATTAGTTCTCTTTAAAGTTCTTGTAAAACTCTGCTGTATATCCATCCAGTCCTGGGCTTTTCTTGGATGGTAGTCTTTTGATGGCTTCTTCTATTTCCTTACTTGATAGTGGTCTGTTTAGGTTGTTTATATCTTCCTGACTCAATCTAGGTAGTTCATATGTCTCAAGGAATTTATCGATGCCATCACTCTCTTCTATTTTGTTAGAGTATAGGGTTTCAGAATAATTTCTAATTATCTTCTGTATTTCTGAATTGTCTGTTGTGATGTTGTTTTTTTCATCCCGTAAGCTAGTAATTTGGGTTCTCTCTCTTCTTCTCTTTGTTAGCGTAGCTAGTGGTCTATCAATCTTATTTATTTTTTCAAAGAACCAACTTTTAGTTTTGTCAAGTTTTTCGATTGTTTCTTTTGTTTCGATTTCATTGATTTCAGCTCTAATTTTAATTATTTCTTGCCTTCTACTGTATTTGCTGCTGATTTGATCTTTTTCTAAGGCTTCGAGGTGTTGTATGAGGTCATTTATTTGTTGGCTTTTCCTTTTTTTAAGGAATGAACTCCATGAAATGAATTTTCCTCTTAGTACTGCTTTCATAGTGTCCCAAAGATTTCGATATGTTGTGTCTGAGTTTTCATTTACCTCTAAGAATTTTTTAATTTCCTCTTTGATGTCTTCTGTAACCCTTTGTTCATTCAGTAGCATATTGTTTAATCTCCATGTGATGTAGGATTTTTCCTTTCTCATTTTATTATTGATTTCCAATTTCATTCCATTATGATCAGATAAAATGCATGGTAGTATCTCAACTCCTTTGTAATTGCTAAGATTTGCTCTATGACATAATATATGGTCAATTTTTGAGAAGGATCCATGTGTTGCTGAGAAGAAAGTGTATCCGCTTGATGTTGGGTGGTATATTCTGTTTATATCAATTAAGTCTAAATTATTAATTGTATTATTGAGCTCTGTGGTTTCTTTATTCAACTTTTGTTTGGAAGATCTGTCCAGTGGTGAGAGAGGTGTGTTAAAATCTCCTATGATTATTGTGTTGTGGTCTGTTAGACTCTTGAACTTGAGAAGAGTTTGTTTGATGAATGTAGCTGCACCACTGTTTGGGGCATATATATTAATGATCGTCAAGTCTTGTTGGTGTATGGTTCCCTTGAGCAGTATGTAGTGTCCTTGTTTATCCCTTTTGATTAACTTTGGCTTGAAGTCTATTTTACTTGATACAAGTATGGACACCCCTGCTTGCTTCCAGGGTTCGTATGAGTGATATGATTTTTCCCAACCTTTCACCTTCAGTCTGTGTATGTCTTTTCCTATCAAATGAGTCTCCTGTAGGCAGCATATTGTTGGATCTTTTTTTTTAATCCATTCTACTGGCCTTTGTCTTTTGATTGGTGCATTTAAGCCATTAACATTTAGGGTTACTATTGAGATATGGTTTGTATATCCAGCCATATTTGGTTATGTATGTTACTTAACATGATTTGTTTTTCCTCTATGCTTAGTTTTTCCTTTACTGTACTACCTCTTGCTGTTGGTTTTCATTGTTATTTTCCATTTCCTCTTCCTGTAATGTTTTGCCAAGGATGTTTTGAAGAGCTGGTTTTCTAGCTGCAAATTCTTTTAACTTTTGTTTATCATTGAAGATTTTTATTTCATCTTCAATCCTGAAGCTTAATTTCGCTGGATACATGATTCTTGGTTGGAACCCTTTTTCTTTCAGCGTTTGAAATATGTTGTTCTAGGATCTTCTAGCTTTCAGAGTCTGTGTTGAAAGATCAGTAGTTCTCCTGATTGGTTTACCCCTAAATGTAATCTGCTTCCTCTCTCTTGTGGCTTTTAAGATTCTCTCCTTATTCTGTACGTTGGGCATCTTCATTATTATGTGTCTTGGTGTGGATCTCTTATGATTTTGTACATTCGGTGTCCTGTAGGCTTCTAGTATTTGGATTTCTTTTTCATTCTTTAAGTCTGGGAAGTTTTCTAGTATTATTTCATTGAATAGATTGCTCATTCCCTTAGTTTGGACCTCTGTACCCTCTTGTATCCCAATAACTCTTAGGTTTGGTTTCTTGATGTTATCCCATAATTCTTGGATGTTCTGCTCATGATTTCTTAACATTCTCGCTGAGCTGTCTATGTTCTTTTCAAGTTGAAAAACTTTGTCTTCGTTGTCTGAAGTTCTATCTTCTAAGTGTTCTACTCTGCTGGTAATACTCTTATTTGAGTTTTTAATTTGGTTTATTGTTTCCTGCATTTCCAGGATTTCTGTTTGTTTGTTTTTTATATCCTCTATCTCCCTATAGAGTTGATCTTTTGCTTCTTGGATTTGTTTATGTAATTCATTGTCAAAGTGATTTTTTCATTGTCTGAATTTGCTGTATAATGTCTTCCTTGAGACTCCAGATCATCTGAAGCATGTATATCCTGAACTCTTTGTCTGACATTCCATCAGCTGCAGATATTACCTCATCTAATGTTGAATTGACTTGTATTGTTTGTGGTCCTTTCTTTCCTTGTCTTTTCATACTGCTCATGATTCTTTCTAGCTTTGTGAAACTGTTGTGCTAATGTTTTCCCCCTTATATATATATTAGTATTGTTCTTGTATAGCTCCAAAATCCCTCTGGATCAGCTGCATAACCATGCTGGTAGCCACACCCCCTTTGATGGGTTTTAAGGGTTGATGGGCTTCCTCTAGACTAGCACTTGGGGCGGGGCTGGACTTCCTCCTCCGGTCTGGCTGGGCGCCTGGTGTCTTTCCTCCTCTGGTCTGGCTGGGCCTCATGGCATGAAAAGATGGCGGAAAAGCAAAGATGTTGTATCTGCATACATTTTTTATGTTACAGTTCTGGGTGTCTATATAATTAGAAGCTTCATTTTGAAACTAATGTTCAGTGGATTAACATGATAATGTATTCTTTTGGTATATTTTAAATAGGGCTGTATTGCACAATTAACTATATTTTCCAATTTGTATAATTTTATGATCTTAAAATTTTATGGTTTATCACATTGGTATTTCTCTGGCTGCTAGAATTTAATTTATTTTTCTAATATATTTCCCTGTGTTTAAGAGATAAACATGGTGGAATTGGAATACTTGTGTACCCATTTTAATAATACATGTAAAGGGATCTCTTAAGTTATATGAAAATACTATAACTTTTAAAAAGTTGCATTTTTGGTGTTTTCCAGATCTGTGGATTTAAACTTTCTTCCATCAGTTGATCCTGAAACAGTTCTTCAGACAGGTAAGATGAAAACATATGTATTACTGATACTAATTCAATAAACCAATTATTCATTAAGTAGACATTGTCAGCATCTATGTGGTACATATTGTAGGAATTTGATGGGAAAGTCTTTTTTATTTGTTCTAGTTTGTTATACATGGCAGTGGAATGCATTTCAATTCATAGTACACAAATGGAGCACAATTTTTCATTTCTCTGGTTGTACACAAAGTATAGTCACAGCATTCATGTCTTTATACATGTACCTAGGGTATTGATGTCAATCTCATTCCACCATTTTTCCTTCCCCCATATCACCTCCCTTCCCTCCCTCCCCTTTACCCTATCTAAAGCTCCTTCATTCTTCCCATGCTCCCCCCACCCCCATTATGGATCAGCATCCACTTATCAGAGAAAACATTCGGCCTTGGGATTTGGGGGGTTGGCTTACTTAACTTGGCATGATACCCTCCAGTTCTATCCATTTACCTGCAAATGCTGTGATTTTATTCTCTTTTAGTGCTGAGTAATATTCCATTGTGTATATATACCACAGTTTCTTTATCCATTTATGTATTGAAGGGCATCTAGGTTGGTTCCACAATTTAGCTATTGTGAATTCAAAATAGCTAAATTGTGGTGCTATAATTTAATTTATAATTTAATTGTTGTGGCTGCATCACTGTAGTATGCTGTTTTTAAGTTCTTTGGGTGTAAACCAAGGAGTGGGATAGCTGGGTCAAATGGTGATTCCATTTCAGGTTTTCTTAGGAATCTCCATACTGCTTTCCAGATTGGTTACATTAATTTACAGTCCCACCAGCAATGTAAGAGTGTGCTTTTTTTCCCCCACATTCTTGCCAACTCTTATTGTTATTTGTGTTCTTGATATTTGCCATTCTGACTAGAGTGAGATGAAATCTCAGTGTAGTTTTAATTTGCATTTTTCTAATTGCTAGAGATGTTGAACTTTTTTTCATATATTTGTTCATTGATTGTATATCTTCTGAGAAGTGTCTGTTCAATTCTTTATCTTATTTATTGGGATATTTGATTTTTTGATTTATTTTTATAAATCCTGGAGATTAGTGCTCTATCTGATGTACATATGGTAAAAATTTGCTCCCATTCTGTAGTCTGTCTGTTCACCTCACTAATTGTTTCTTTTGCTGAGAAAAAGCTTTTCAGTGTGAATCAATCCCATTTGTTGATTCTTGATTTTATTTCTTGCACTTTAGGAGTCTTGTTAAGGAAGTAGGGGCCTAATCCAACATGATGAAGATTTGGGCCTACCTTTTTCTTCTAGTCTAATTCTTAGGTCCTTGATCCACTTTGAGTTTTGTGCATGGTGAGAGATACGGGCTTAATTTTATTTTACTGCATATGGATTTCCAGTTTTCCCAGCATCATTTGTTGAAGAGGCTATCTTTTCTCCAATGTATGCACCTTTGTCTAGTATGAGATAACTGTATTTATGTGGGTTTGCTCTGTGTTCTCTATTCTGTACCATTGGTCTACAAGTCTGTTTTGGTGTGAATACCATGCCATTTTTGTTGGTTGCTTTATAGTATAATTGAAGTCTGGTATTGTGATGCCACCTACTGAACTCTTTTTGCTAAGGAAGAAGATTTATGTCATATCATAAAGATTTCTTTGATTGTTCTGGGTCTCTTATTTTTCTAAATGAATTTCATAATTGCTTTTTCTATGAGGAATGTCATTGGTTTTTTTATTGGAATTGCATTAAATCTGTATAGTGCAGTATGGTCATTGTGACAATATTAATTCTGCCTATCCAAGAACATGGGAGATCTTTTCGTCTTTTTAAATTTCTTTCTTTAGCATTCTGTAAGTTTTCATTGTAGAGGTCTAAAACTCTTTCATTAATTTGATTCCCAAGTATTTTATGTTTTTTTTTGAGGCTACTGTGAATGGGGTCATTTTCCTAATTTCTCTTTCAGAGGATTTGTTACTGATGTATAGAAATGCCTTTGATTTATGGGAGTTTTTGCTGGGACATACTTTTAAACTGCTTTTTGGTGTAACCTAATAATACTATGTTAACATACTGTATAATATTTAAAAAATTGATAATGATAATTTTTCTTCCTCTCAAAATGTTGAGATTTATTTCCTATTTTGCAATACAGAGGTGAAACTTTCTGTTTCATTACATGGCTGTGAGAATTATTGAATATTCACCTTGTACCAGATACTGTGTTTTCATCTTTCATTCTCCTGACAACCTTCTAAGATAGTTCTATTCTCTCTACTTTGTACTTGATGAAGCCAAGCCTTAGAGATACAAACAAACAAACAGAAAACTTGTACAAGATCAAATAAGCTTAAATTCTCTCCATAGCTCAAAATTGGGGTATATATGTGTATTGAGAATTGTAATGCAAAAAAAAGAGTACATGTATAATGGCATAATTTGGCATAAACATACTTTATATGCAGAGTTATGAAAAATTGTGCTGTATATGAGTAATAATGAGTGTAATGTATTCCACTATTGTCATGTATTTAAGAAAAAAATCAGGTCTAAATGCAGAGGCAATAACCCCTTAGCTGTCTGCAGTGACCTTGCACAGTGAATGCTCTGTGGAGCTTGCCATGTGTGTTCTACCCATAGATCCATAGTTGTTATGTCACACATTCCAGGAGAAAAAGTTGGAATTCTTCCCATTGGAAATACCACAATTTTATTTCTATCCACTTTTTCCAATAATAGCTCATAATTCTAGTCTGACTGTGGGACAGGCACTCTTCTAAGCACTTTATTTATGTTAACTCATTAATTCTTTACTACAACCCTGTGAAGTCTATACTGTTATCATCCCAATATTAAGAGGAGGAAATGGAAGCACAAGAAGGTTAAGTAATTTTTGCAAGTTATTCACCCAGTAAATGCTAGAGTTGGGATCTTAACCCAGACAGTGTGCTTTCAGAATATGTTCTTTGAAATAATGATGTCGTGCTGTTTCTCTAATGGAAGTGGTATCTAAAAGGCCAACATTAAGGGTAACAGTTGCCAAAGTAGAAAAAAAATAAATGTGTTCTGATATTATGCTTTTTGATTTTATATACAGAGATTTTTGCAAAGAGTTAGATGTGTTTTAAACAGGTGTTTTTACAGTTTTAAGATGTGATGAGGAGTAATAAATTTTGAATATCTTTGTTGTAACTCTGTTGTCCTAATGTTCAATGTGTCATAGATCTTACTTCCTTAGAGAACAAAGAAATATCTGTACCCTCTGAATTATGCTTAAATGTTAAAATAGACTACCAGTTCTACTCTATGTTTAAAATTTAATTCCATGTATATGTTTGGTATTTTGAAAACTGCTTATTTTAAGACATTGAATTAAGAAACTATTTTTTTTTTTTGTATCAGGGATTGAACCCAGGGGTACTTAACCACTGAAACAGATACCTAGTCCTTTTAATATTTTATTTAGAGACAAGGTCTTGCTGAGTTTCTTAGGGCCTCACTAAATTGCTGAGGCTGGCTTTGAACTTATGATCTCCTGCCTCAGTCTCCTGAGCTGCTGGGATTATAGGTGTGCACCACTGCACCTGGTGAATTAAGAAACTTCTAAAATTTGTATTTTAAAATTAATTTTATATGCCACTAAGTCTTTTTTATGTGCTATTAACTCTTAAGATAGAGATTACAAAGTATAATGTGGAGAGGTTTAGGAAATTTTGTTTACTTATTTATTTATTTAGAGATTGGAAATAGCTCTCTTTCTGTATATTGAAAATCATTTAAAAAGTCATATTTTACTGAATTAAAAGTAAAAGAATTTAAATATCATGTATTGTTTGGTACCAAAATAACAGAATCATTTTATCCTGGAAAAATAATCTTTACTTTTCAAATTGTGCATATATTTACAGCTTTTGTTGTAAATAAGTGGATTTAGTTGTAAATGAGTTGATTTCCTACATGAGCTTGCTATAATTGAATCACATTCAATGCAGTTCTCATACTAGTATGTTTTATGATTCACAGTTAATATGTTTAGAGATTTTACAGAGATTATTTGTAATGAAAATTTTATTTATGCTAATCATACATCTGTTTCATTGTCAACTTTTAAGTGTTGTGATGAGATATTAATAGGGATCAATACTGAAATCTCATATAGCTTGGATTAATATCATCATACAGAAATCCCAGAGTATAATTCTGCCCTGTCAGAAAACATGATTGATTGGCATAGTGTTCTAAGTAATAAATCCACCAAAAACAAGAATGTGATAGATAAAACAGATAGAAATTATATATCACCATATATATGCTATACTATATTTTCTGTTACATAGCATATATCTGTAGCATATGTATTTGTGATATATGATAAGGCACTTTAATATTAATTTTTTTGTGTATATATATATGTATTTATATGCACATATGCAATTTTTCTATTTATTGTGATTATAATTTTCTTCTTTGTATTTTACTGCTTATGACCTAGAAGATAGATAGGTGGATAGTTTTTAAAAACAAATTGTATTTCCTTATGGGTATTAATTACAAGTATCTTTTATTTGTAAAGGGCATGAATTATTATCCGAATTACAGCAGCGTCGATTTAATGGCTCTGATGGCGGGGTCTCGTGGTCTCCTATGGATGATGAACTGCTTGCGCAGCCACAGGTTATGAAATTATTAGATTCACTCCGAGAGCAGTACACCCGCTACCAGGAAGTATGTAGACAGCGTAGTAAGCGCACCCAATTAGAAGAGATTCAGCAGAAGGTGATGCAGGTAGGTATCTGATTGGATTATATCTAACTCTTACATTCTAAATGTTTTTTTCCTGATAATTTCTATTTTGTGACTTTTACTAAGAATTATTTATATTATATAGAGAAATATATAGACATTTCAAACTGGAATTCTAAAAATATTTTATCTTTTTATATATAGTATTTAAAGTCATATTATTTCTTCAGTGATGACATTGAGCATTCAGCTTACTCTAACACAATGAGTTTTAAAAATAGGTAGTTGGAAACATGATGAGTGCTTTCAGAATTCTTGCAATAAATAACATCTGATTATTGATATTTGATTTATTCTCTTTTTTTTGGGGGGGGGGAATGTACCAGAGATTGAACCCAGGGATGCTTAATCATCAAGCCACATTCCCAACCCATTTTTTATTTTTTTATTTTGAGACAGGGTCTTGCTAAGTTGCTTAGGGCCTTGGTAAGCTACTGAGGCTGGCTTTGCAATTGCAATCCTGCCCTATCTATGCTCAGCTGATTTCTTCTTCTTCTTCTTCTTTTTTAAATGAGTATTTGTATACTCATGTTCTCTTAAAAAAAAAACAAAAAAAAAACATTTTTTTTTCTTTTTTTGTAGTTGTAGATGGATGGACAGAATGCCTTTATTTTGTTTATTTTTATGTGGTACTGAGGATCAAACCCAGTGCCTCACACATGCTAGGCAAGTGCTATGCCATTGAGCTACAGCCTCAGGTCCAGTCCCCTGATTTATTTTCGATTTCCAATAACTTACTAGTTTTTTTTTGTTAATTTGATAATTATGATGAGTTTTTTATTCTTAGAAAATATAAATGTAATATAAGTAATTCTAATATTAAATGTATTGTTTTATACAGAAAATATTAAATGTATTTATTTCCTAAGAAATTTTAGTTCTCTTTAAAATTGAGTTGTATAAGAAATGTAGGCAGGAATGTTCAAACTCAATACTAAAAAAACAGGTGGTGGGGCAGAATTGGCCTGCAGGCTACAGTTTGCCGACCTCGAGTATCAGGATGTCATAGAAAAAACAGTTGAAAGGAAGGAAGGATCATGAAAATGTTGAATTCCAGGCAAAAATTAAGGCTTGAGGCCATGGATAACCACATATAAACTTGATTTCTGGGGATACTTTAATTTATGCAACTTTTTCAGTGTTCTCATTTGTAAATTAAAGAACGGTTCCTATCAATTCAAGTAAACTTTGGCTAATTCGTTTGAGATTATCTTTGAAAACTACATAGAAGAAATAGCATAATGGTATAAAACTCAGATTTTGAACCCATGTTACCTGGGTCTACCCTCTTCTACTTTTAAGCATCTTCACCTTGGGAAGAATGTTCCATGCCCTAGTTTTCTCTTTAGTCAACAGAGAAAAACAATAATGTCATCATTGACTATAATAGCTATTTAATAAGACTGTTGTGGGATTTAAAAAAGATAGTCTTTGTAAAGTGTTTACTGCTGGATATTTATTCTAGACATTGCTATAGGCAGAGAACACAGGTGATAGGACTCATCCAGCATTTGTGCTTTGGTAAAGTGGAACAAATGACCATGACAGAAAGTCAAGGACACAGGAGTTAATGTGTTAGCAAGCACATTTTTGAAATGATGGGCCAGCTCAATTGGATAAAGCAATTGGAGAAGGGAAATAATGATGGTGATATTTATGATAATGGTAACAAGATTATTATTTTAAAAAATTAAACTTCTGTTAAAGAATGAACTTCTTTTTATTTTCTTAAATTTATTTTTTAAATACATGACAACAGTGGAATGCATTACACTTATTATTACTCATATACAGCACAATTTTTTGTGACTCTGTATATAAAGTATTTCACGCTAAATTATGCCATTATACATGTACTCTCTTTATTTTTGCATTACAATTCTTAATATACATATATACCACAATTTTTCATATCTGTATATAAGGTATATTGACACCAAATTCAAATCTTCATACTTGTATTTTGTATAGTGATAACCATCACATCCCATCATCCTTGCTATTTTCCCTTCTCCCTCCCTTTCCCTCCCACCCCTCTTCCCTGTCTAGAAAAAATCTTCCTTCTGTGCTCTCCCTCCCTACCCCACTTTGAGTCACCCCCCTTATATCAGAGAAAACATTCGGCATTTGTTTTTTGGGGATTGGCTAACTTCACTTAGCATAATCTTCTCAATGCCATCCATTTACCTGCAAATGCCATGATTTTGTTCTTTTTTAGTGCTGAGTCATATTCCATTGTGTATAAATGCCACATTTTTTTAAATCAATTCATCCACTGAAGGACATCTAGGTTGGCTCCATAGTTTAGCTATTGTGAATTGTGCCACTATAAACATTGATGTGGCTGTGTCACTGTAGTATGCTGTTTTTAGGTCCTTTGGGTATAGTCCCAGAAGAGGAATTGTTGGGTCAAATGGTGGTTCCATTCCCAGATTTCCAAGGAATCTCCATACTGCTTTCCAAACTGGCTGCACCAGTCAATCAATTGGAACATTAGTGGTCACCATGCAGTGTTTTCCTATATTCTTGTTTTCATAGATGTCAACTTAAGGAAAGATTTTTTTCCCCCCTTGCCAAAATGGTTACTTAATTTTTTTTTTTTTGAGAGAGAGAGAGAGAGAGAGAGAGAGAGAGAGAGAGAGAGAATTTATTACTTAGTTTTCGGTGGACACAACATCTTTGTTTGTATGTGGTGCTGAGGATCGAACTCTGGCCGCACGCATGCCAGGCGAGCGCACTACCACTTGAGCCACATACCCAGCCCCAAAATTTAACTGTATAATTGATGATATGCTGATCACATGGTATGAACTATACCATCTCCTGGCTTGCAAATTTGGGGAAAATGTAAAAATTTTTTGTTTATATAAAGGTCACCATTAAATTGAATATCTTTGTTTATATTAAATTCGTAAAAATTGAATTACTTCAGATTTCTTTGTTCAGTAGCTTATCGCTAAAAACATTATTCAAGAGGAAACCATAACTCTGATAAACTAGGTGATAGGTAGTAATGTGATAGTTACCAGCACTTATTCCCCACAGTTCAAAGTGGCAGCATCAGACTTCATGTAGTATGCAAGAGTTTTTCATACTGCTGCTGCTGTGGCAGTTAAAAATTATATTTCACATGCTTTTGGCTGAAAGACAATGCCACTTCACTGAAATGTGATATTGTTATTCCCATTATTTATTATGGCAGTAATTACCACCAGCACTGCAAATGTTATTTCTAGAACCATTCATGTGCTTTTCTTCTGTGTAGAGAGGAACTGTAGATGCAAAATTAGATACACTCTGAGTTGCATAAGTGTGTAGCTAGAGGCTGTATTCTCAGACTCCTTACCCTTTTTGTGGGACAAATCCTTAACATTTGCTTAACACATCCTTTTGGCTGGTTTGACCTTACATACTTCCAGATATTCTCTCATGCACTCTTTAGAAATCAGCCTGGCCATGAAAGAATAGTGGATAGTCACATTTTTGGCCTGTGCAAATATTTGTCATGGTAGATTTTAAGAACGCATCTCCAAGGTTATACTTTGCATATAAATGTAACCATTCCAGGGGTCATATTGTTATGGATTGGATACAGAACTGTTTTTTACAGTAAATTAATATTCAGATTGAGCAAGATGTTGTGTTTGAAATTAAGTTTTATATAATAGTTGTTTGGCAAGCTACCATCATTAATGCATTTAAATAAACTTGTTTACTGGGGCATCCACCTCAATTTGCATTATTTTTATTAGAAATAGTCACCCATTTACTGGGTCTACATTACTTATGATGCATACTAAGGGAAATTATTTTCTGCATACATTAAAACTATATGGGTACTTGACTATGTAACAGGGTTTTTGTGCCAAGATGTCTTTGTTAAGTATACATAAAATTTACTTTTAAGTTTGTGTTTCTTCAAACTTTCATTCTGTCTTAAGTCCTTTTTGTGCTGCTGTAACAATACCTGAAACTAAATCATTATAAAGAACAGATTTATTTCTCACACTTCTGAAGGCTGGAAAGTCCAAGGTTGAGAGTTGCTTCTGGCAGGGTCTTTTTGATGCGTCATCCTACTGTAGGAGGTATAAAGGCAGCAGAGCGTGAGTGTTGGATGAAAAAGAAAAAGAACACATGTGCAGGAGTCAGCCAGCCACACTTGCCCCTGTAACACACCTACTCTCGGGATAATGACACGAATCCATTCATAAGGACAGAACCTTCATGACCTAACCACCCCTTCAAGTTCCTGCCTCTCAACGCTATTTCACTGGGGACTAAGTTTCCAACACATTCAATCCCTAACATCATTTTTTTCCCTAATATATTTTTTCCCAAGTTATATTAACTTGCTTTTTTAGTTTCTAGAGTATTCTAAAATCAAAGTTTACATGTTTAGTGTTAATAATTTATTACTAATGAGTTAAAAATCTTAAATGCCTTCATTACTTTTAGAATTTAGATATTTCTAGTGAAATAATTATTTAAAATACCTAAATTCACTTCATCTCATTTTATCTCAGTGTGTCCATATCCATGCTCAAACATGTAGTGATAAATGAGAAATAACTTATGATCAAAAGGAAAATGGAAAATTGTTTAAAAATGTTGATGTTACTAAGCTTCCTTAAAGCTTACTCTTTTTTATTTCCATATTTTAAAGTGTTGGATAACGTAGTTAGTTCAGGGACTTCCTTGAGAACCCAGGGATCTGATTGGAAAATGCAGACGTGAGAAAAACAAGAAGCTAGGCTACAGAAAACCTGGGAAAAGCAGAGGCTGGCAGCTATTAGTGTCTACTGCGCTGAGTGCTGAGTATCTTACATACGATGACTGGTTTAACCCTGTAAGGTGGGCGTCACTAACATCATTTATAAGGTGAGGAACAAAAGTTTTTGGACTAGTGGGAGCAGAGCCAGAATTCAGCATTTAGATTCATGTGTAGTGCCTCTCTAATACCAAACTGTTCATCTGTCTCTTTTGTGAAAGAGTGATATGACAGGCTAATAGAGAGACACAGGATGTTAGTACTATGCCCTTCTGAAGACAGCACACACGAAAGGTTAAAAAAGAAAAAATGGAGATGTTGAAGGACAAGCCAACCTTTGCATTCTAAAGAGCATCTGCGGATAGCTTGCCTATGAATTTGGCACTCTGAAAATATAGTTTAACCAAGAGAAAGTTCCACTACTTAGGGCTATTCCAGTGAGTCAACAGTTTTATCCTTTGACTCTTGTTTTTGAGGGTTTTTTACTTATTATTATTTTGTTGTCATTGAATGCAAGAAGTTCTATATCAGAAACCTGTCATAGGAAAATGATACAGAATTAGAGAAAATACCATATGTAATTGCTATCTATTTTTTTAAATCACATTGCTTAGAATTGATGTAGAGTGGAAACACTTTAAATGTCCAACAATAAGAATGTAGCAGATATAATGGTTATTTAAGGTACCATATTTCTTAGTGCCTAATATTGGTTGGTTGAGTGGCTGGCTGGCTGGTTGATTAGATGGGAGAGAGGCAGGCAGACAAGCAAATAGGTTGATATTCTTAAAAAAGAGACTCTTGAAATCACTGAAAATTGTAATAACTGTAGCCACTTGGAAACTCATTAGAGTATGATAGTTTAATGATAAGTGAAAAATACAGGATAGAACTTACACTCTGAGAACTGACTGTAGCAACCCAATCTGGAGTAGTATATGAAAACTATGTGAAAAATTAATGGAAGAAAATACACATGATTGTTTTTTATGATGTCCTTTTATATAATTATAAAAAATAAAGATGTGTGTACTGTTAGGGTTAAAAACGAGACAATGTAAAGCTGGTGATATGATAGAGTGCACTTTGGGGCTACTGGCTGTGTTGACACAGTTCTAAGGCAAGCTTGTCCATGCAGACCATAGTAAACTGCCTTCACTCCTTGGGAGCTATCATAAGTTTAGATTTAAGGCATAAATCTAAACATTACATATAATTTTGAATTTCTTATTCTAATGTAGCAACAGGTAAATTTCGGCAGTAGTGTTTTCTTTGGTTAAAATTCCTTCATGGGATGATTGTGTGTGAAGACTTAACAAAACTTTCACTCTGTCTGCTGAGTATTTGTTCTTTGCCTAACTGTCTAGCTCTGCTCTCCTGAGAACCTGATAAAAATTGAAATGTCACCTATGTTATCAGGTGGTATTGCTTATAGTAAAAATTACCCCAGTTCTGGAACTGGGAGAACTATACTATTTGATGGAAGGCAGAACTGGGGACATCCATGAATTCAGTTGACACTCATAATGGGTGTGGCCCTGAGGGATGTGAACTTTTCATGCTGGAGTGACTCCTGTGTCTCTCCCATGTGGATAGAAAAGGAACTTGGGAGAAGAGGAACTCCTAAAGTGCCAACCAGGATCAACTATAGCTATACGCCTTCCCCTCTATCCTGGGTGGACTGGAGCTGGTGGGATTTCTTATGGGTCTGAATGTTTAGTTGATCCTAAGAAAGCACCTAAAAGGTATTATAATTCTGTAGTTAGTTTTTAAATTTTCTTTTCAAAATGAGAAAGTAGTATTTTAGCTTTTGTTAGTTCATCCAATTTTTTTTTTCAGTGGTTAGGGAAGAACATTAGTCCAGATCACACAGGTTTTAGTCCTTTTTTTTTTTTTTTTTTTTTTTTTAGTAATGGATTATGTTACCTTGGGGAAGTCATTTAGTCTCCCTGAATCTCAATTTTCTTAAGTGTTAGATAACCTTGACCAATGTCATTTCTGATTTCCCTTTCAACTCTAAATTCTGTAGTTTTCTGATTGTCTTATCATAAGTTAATTTTTAATCCTCTTTTATAGAACCGTTCCTGATTTCTTTTTAGCTAGACACATGATCAGATAACTGAAAGCCTAAGGCTACAGTGTACATCTTTCAAAGTGTAAATTTTGGAAATGTCATATTATAACTGTGTAATTCCGAAAGAAATGTTTACTACTTATGTAGTAGAACTTAAAGAATTTCAGTTTAAAATACTTAAGGAATTTGGGGGAAAGAAAACCAGTTAGACTGAAAATTTGAAAAGCCTTTGATTATTCTAAAATTTCATCTCAACTTTCATTTACAGGTTGTAAACTGGCTGGAAGGACCTGGATCGGAACAACTGAGAGCCCAGTGGGGGATTGGTGACTCTATTAGGGCTTCCCAGGCCCTACAGCAGAAGCATGAAGAGATTGAGAGCCAGCACAGTGTGAGAGGCTTTTTCCTCTGCAAGTTACAGTGCAGTTATTCTTGTGCATAATTAGCATAGGTGGTACTAAGTGCTAAGCTGCTGTTAACTTTGTATAGGGGCCTAGAATACAGTTTATTGAATCCTTAGAGGTTATAAGTTTTCATTTTGACCACTTAGTGTATGTTAATTCAAAGGTTGGTTTAGGTTTTACCTGCAATATAGTTTCATTATATTGTTACTTCTCTAATACAGTGTAGATGAAATTTTAAAAGCTATAGTGATGGAAAAAAAAAAAGAGTACAAAAATAGAGCCTTCATCACTAGTCCCTCCAATAGAAAAGTTTGTTCTTAAAATCCTAGAGGAAGGCCTTTCCCTACTTCTTTGGGCGCATGCTGTACAACTAAATGCTGGGAATACCACCAGGACTGCGGCATTACACACAGCTGATGGAGAGGGAGTACAGAGGAGGCAGAGTATCTTTCATTCTCTGTGCATTTAGGGGTCACATTTGTAATTGTGAAGGGGATAATTAGACAGATCACAGGTATAGATTGGGAAATAAATCAATCCTTATTCAGATTATAGATAAAATTGTTCAAGAGAATTTAAAATGCAACAACTTGCTATGTGGAAGAAACAGATGTTTATTAAGCTCATGCTTGGTTATAGTTGGTTCTCTATGTGGAGAAAGTAGTCATATAGTTTGTAGATTAGGTAGTTTATCCCCCCTCCCTGAAGCCATATTACTTTTTATGGTAATTTTAAATAGATTGAATACAAAATTGGAAATATAAAATTTGATCCATTAAATTCTATCTCCTTGGTCTATCCATCTTCAAAAATCCATCAGTAATAGTGTTAAACTCTGGAACAGGTGAGTTTGAAGGGTCATTGGAACATTATATTTTCACAGTGTGTTTCTTTACCCATCAATTCCTCTACTTGAAGTGGTAATAAAAGTTGAACAGTTAAGAAATATATATTTTAACTAAGTATGGTTAAAGAATAAATAATATTCTTTGCAAATAAATTTGAGTAAATCTCATCTTTATTAGAGCTATATTTTAATAATATCAAATAATCATTTTATTTTTAAGGAGATACATTCTGTTTACTTTCCTCATATTGCTTTTTTTAGTAATCTTTCTCCAATTAGGTTTTTTTTTTTTTTTTCCTCCCCGAGTGAGGCTTAACTGTCGGTGGCACTGGCCGATAATCTACATAACATAGCCTAAAGGAGTTGTAGTCTAGCTGAGACAATAATATGTAGAAAGAGCCATCACAAGATTTGGAAATCATATAAAGATGGTACATAGGTAGTCTAACATTTCTAATTAGTGCTTGTGAGAGACTTGAAAAAATGAAATCCTGGGGCTGGGGTGGTGACTCAGTGGTAGAACACTTGACTAGCCCATGTGAGGCACTGAGTTTGATCCTCAGCACCACATAAAATAAATAAATAAAATAAAGGTATTGTGTGTCCATTTATAACTAAAAAAAAAATCCCATATAGTTTATCCATTTCACAGGTTCCAATATGGTTCTTCATTTTATGGTAAAAAATTAGAATAATTTATTTTTAATTTATAAACCCTGTTCCTGAAGTTATGATCTTTAATTATCTTATACTTTAAAAAATATTTTTTTTATTGTATGGACATAATACTTTTATTTATTTATTCTTATGTGGTACTGAGGATTGAACTCGGTGCCTCACATATACTAGGCAAGTGCTCTGCCATTGAGCTATAGCCCCAGCCCTCTCTTAGGCTTTTAAAATACCATTACACTGTTGAAATTTTTTATATGGATTATGATTTATTTGATTATTCTGGATGGAACATGTTACTGTAGTATAGATGGTTTCTATAATTTGTTTCCCTGTAAATTTTTGAAAGCAGTATTTGCATAGAATATCAGGTTTTATTTAAGAGAATTTAGTCACCAAGTATTCCGAAAGTCCTCTTAGTAAGGAAACACGATACTTGAGGAGCCCAAAGATAGGGTTTATATATATATATATATATTTTATTTTTAAAAGCTACCAAGAGAGTTATAGTTAGAAATTGGATTCTACATATATCATGTATAAATTCACAAAAAGTATTGGAATTACATTTTATATTGTATGTTGTGTGGGTGAAATTACCATTGACATACATAGAGAACCCTGTGTTTAAATGTTTGTTTATATATACTTTTATATGAATTTTTTAAATCAGCTTAAAAAATAAATTACATATGGCATCTCTTTTCATGTGCTTACGCTTACTTATAATGTGGAAAAGATATACATAACTTTTATATTGGAAAGGACCTTATAAATTAAAATATCCCTTTATATTTTATAGATGAAGAAACAGACTTTTTAAAAAAATCAATAAGTTGCTAGATTAGGTTAAAAACATAGACATCCTGATATCTAGATAGGACCCCCTCACTCTCTCTTTTAGGGAAAGCTACTAAATTGCATGGATATGCTTAAGATACAATGTATGTATGTATGTATGTATGTATGTATGTATGCATGTATATTCTCTTGCTATTTGAGGACACACATACACATTTTTTTAAATATTTATTTTTTCGTTGTAGTTGGACACAATACATTTATTTTATTTGTTTATTTTTATGTGATGCTAAGGGTTGATCCCAGGGCTTCACATTTGTTGGGTGAGAACTCTACCACTGAGCCACAACCCCAGCCCCATGCACACATTTTGACATCTGTATTGATAGATCTGGACCCCAGAGGAAAAAATATACTCTTGATTTATTGTGGATTTTGTTTCCTTAAATCATGTGTGATATTTGGGATATTGGAAAATTGGAGGGTCGGGACATATTGAATGGGAATATAGTTGAAACAGGATTGACCACAAGTGGGTAATTATTGAAGCTAGATTGCACATGGGGCTTCATTATGCTATTTTTTCCACTTTTGAATAGATTAAAAAATTTTCCATTCTTTAAAAGGTTTAAGAAAAGATAATTGCATTGTTTTAGCCAGTAGGTGGCACTGCATTCATTGTCACCTTAGAATTGTAATGCATTCCACTGTCATATGTAAATTTAAAAAAATTAAAAAAAAAAAAAAGACTAGGTTGGTTGGTGCTGGATGAATATGTTAGTATATGATGTTTAAGATATTCTAATACTTCTTTTCTCTATTAGTAAAACAACAGCTTCAATTATTTACTGGAATTGTTCAGGTCTTAGAAAATTTCTAGTATTGATAGTTAGCAAGGGTAGAATTTGGAAAACTTTAATAGACCATTTTGTATTGAAGTACCATGTCAAGTATTATGTTTTCCATTCCACATGAAAGAGTAATGCAGAAATAAAGCTATCAACTCAAATTTATTAGGATATTCAGCACTAATAGAGAAAAATGAAAATCCTCCTGATCTGTAGTTATTTGTGAAGGACCGTGAATTAGAAGTTTGCTTGGTTTTTGAATACAACCCAACAAAAAATATCAAAGTGAATAGAAGTGATTGTAGAGTCTGTTTATAAATCTCAAAATATTTGACTACAATGGTAAATATACTTTTACCTTTGGGTAGGGTAGGAGTGTGTTGGGAAGAGCACGTGCTGGTGCTGTGGTACACATCTGTAATCTCAGAGGCTGAGACAGAAGGATCACAAGTTCAAAGCCAGCCTCAACAATAGCTAGGTGCTAAGCAACTCAGTGAGAACCTGTCTCTAAATAAAATACAAAATAGGGCTGGGGATACGTCACAGTGCCCCTGAGTTCAATCCCTGACACACACAAAAAAAAAATGCATAGCAGGAGAGTGTAGAAGCATGCATTTCTGAAGCTGCCTCTGCATTCTGTCACTGTCCCACCTTCCACAGTACTGACTTCTGCCTCCAAAGGGCCCTAAGTGTATAACATAGCCTGGGTTGGCAGTATTTCTTTCCTCCCAGACTGGGATTCCTGTTCTTGGTTTAAAGTGCAAAGTGCAAATGATCATTTCACCAACTATGTATTGACACTGGCTCAACCACAATCATAGTGTCAGTCCTGGCTGTTCGTTCTAACATTCAAATGCTTTCCCTACTTATCATCTTTTTTTTTTTTTAAAGAGAGAGAGAGAGAGAGAGAGAGAGAGAGAGAGAGAGAGAGAATTTTTTAATATTTAGTTTTTGGTGGACATATCATCTTTATTTTATTTTTAATTGGTGCTGAGGATCGAACCCAGCGCCCGCGTATGCCAGGCGAGTGCGCTACCCCTTGAGCCACATCCTCAGCCCCCTACTTATCATCTTAATCCAAACCCCAAATCTTGGTGTTGAGTTTTTATTTTGCTATAAATTAATAAATTTCAACACAGTAAATGTGTATGAACAGAGTACAAGAATGGCCATAATAAACTGAATGCAGCTGTTTACCTAAGGTTATATACATTCTATTTTTAGGAAGAAACATTTTGACTAATTTTAAACATATACATATATGTAAGCCAGACCCCCTGACCCTCAGTCCCACAGAGGTATAGAGTTTGTCATTTATTTATGACATACTCAATCAGTAACATCAGTAACTCCAATTCTAGGCATTAATTTATTGAGACATATTAGTCTTTATATTGTATTTACATCCCTGGTCACGTTGCTAGAACTTACATGTATTTTAAGATTTCAAACGAGGACAAAAATCAGCTCCACAGTGGTGGTTCTTAAACGTTAATGGTCAAGAATTGTCAGAGGTGCTTGTTAAAAATGCATTTTCCAGGGCCCCACCCCCAGAGACTCAGAGGCTGAGGGAAGAACTTGGGTATTTTGATGAACACCCAGGTGATCTAGTGTAAGTAGTTCTCACTGAGAAGTGCCATCCTGGAATTCTGATCTTTTAGTTTACTACTTTTCTCAGAATCATTGCCACTACTTCAGAGATTTGGATATCTTTATTTAGAGCATTTAGTTAAGTTTTAATTACTAAAGATATGAGATATGAGACCATGACAATGATAATTTTCTCAGGTAATATTCTATACTTTTTAAATTGTCAGTCTGCTTAATCATTGTGATAACTGTAGTTTTACAAGTATTTTATGTATATTATTTGATGAAATTCTTACAGCAACTAATAAAGTAAGTATAGCAGGTGTTACTATCACCATTGGATGGAGCATGTTTCTTAAATTCTGTACCACTAACACTTAAGTCCAGATAAAAAATTGTTGTAGGGGCTGGCCCATGCATTGCAGGACATGTATCCATAACATTAGTCTTATCTGTTAGATGGAGCAGCATCCCTCCTCCTTACTTGTGGTAACCAAACATTCCATGTGAGGCAGAATAATACACTGTTTCCTCTATGATTCAATGCCAAGAGTGTTTTCTGTGCTTAATGCATCCATTTAGCACATTAATCGAGCACATATGATATGCCACAGGTTGTTTTAGGCTCTTAGGTTATCGCCCAGGATTACCATATGGAATTATAATCATGTTGGGGAGGTAGGGAGTAGAGAGGCACTATAGGTATGGCATTTAAGAAAGCCTCCTCTGAGGAAATGACATTTAATCAGAAACCTCAAGTTGGTATGGAGTAATCCAAACAAAGGGCCCTCTAGATAGAGGATATAGCATGGAAGCACCCCAAGGCAGGAATATAACTAAAGAACAATGAGGAGGGTGGACATCGCTGGAGTACTGGGAGCAAGACAGAGGGTCACAGAAAATGAGAGGAAGTTAGGGGCCAAAATAAGTAATGTCTTTTTAACCCATGAACAGGAGCTTAAAGTTTATTTTAAATGTTACATGAGATCAGTGGAGAGGTTTTTGAGACAAAAATTGATTTATGTTTTGAAAAGATCACTGGCTATCGGGTGGAGGATAGGGAGATAGGGAGGGGGGACAAGCAGCGCAAATGGAAGACTGGAGCTCTTGGAATGGAGGTGGCAGAAGTGGTAGGAAGTGTTAGGCTCCCAAGGTTGAACCAGCAAGTCTTGCTGGTGGAAGACTCAAGCTCTGAGAATTTTTTGGTAACTTGACAAGATTAGTTTTAGAAGAGTGGAAAATACTAAATCCTGACTTAGAATGAATTTTAAAAGAATGGGGAATGAAACGAAGAATGTTATCTTTTAAGGAAAGTTTTGTTTTTAGAGGTTTAATATACAGAATTTTAAAATGTATAGATCCTAAAGCATGTATTTTGTTCAGGATAGGTGTTACAGTTTGCTTATGTGCTGATGGAAATAATCCAGTTGAAACAGAAGAATTGATCAGAGAGAAAGAGATGATAGTTGCAAGAGCAGAGTTGTGCACAGGCAGCAGAAGAGAGGGTATCATGCTCTGGAGGAGTGTTGGCCTCAGGAGCAGGGCCTCTGTAGAGTGGGGAGGCAGAGCACAGGGCTATAGGAGGGAAGGTTGTAGATTTGTTGGTGGGAAGATGAGACTGTTCTCTTTTAATTGCATCCAGAGAATTAAGAAGTTCTTCTAGAGTAAAGAGTTTGTAAAAGGGAGTTGGAGACTTAAGGAGTGAAAAAAAAAAATCACGAGAATGGGAAAGTGAATTGCTTAGAGAAACCTGCAAGGATTACTGAACCTCTGTTTGAAATTATTTAGCTATATCTTAAAAAAAATATGCACAGACTGTCGTGTATCGCTTAATTGGAGCATACTTTAAGAAATGCATCATTAGGTGATTTTGTTGCTGAGTGAGCATCATAGAGTGCACTTACAGGAACTAGGACAACTATGATGTCTCCAGGCTGTGTAGTCTTACCACCATCACATGTGTGGTCCATCGTTGACGGTTGATATGCAGGGCATGTCTGTGGTGGTTTTTACCTAGCTGTGTTCAGCCACTCTGGTACAGACACACAGTAGGCAGAGAAGCCAGGTTTGAGGTTTCAGTAGGTGAATTTGATGGAAGGAAGGAGGGCAGGTGTGGTGGGCCAGGGTTGTATGCCGGGAGGTGGCTGTAGCTTCTGACCAACGGTGAGAGGCTGCCAAGAGCTGCAGTGTCAGACATGAAAGGAGAATAGATCAGTGGACCTCTGGGGGTGTAGCTAAAAAAAGGGCATTGGAGTCAGTATCTGATGAGAGAATGGAATTCACAAAAGTGAGAGTTTAGAGTTGCCTAGTAAGCAGTACATGATGACAGGCTTTTGGGGCCAGTGGAGTAGGTAGCTGAGATGGGGTGAGGATGCAGTAGTGGAAGTGAGGGAAACAGTTGAGGAGCTGAGTCCAGAGTGTTGGTGCATGGGTACATGAAGGCCATCACCAAGAAGGCTGGCACAGAGAGAAATGCAGAGAGGAACCCCCAGGGGGATGAGGGGATACCACAGGAAAGGCTGGAAGGGCGTAATCCAGCATCCTGCATTTCACAGGTTTTCCAGACAAGAGGGGGGAAAAATGGTTTGAAATAGTAATGAGTCTGGGCTTGTGTATGTTGGTGTGGAAATAAAGATAGCAACCAGTTTAGGGGGCTGCAAAGGTAACTGTGCACTATGAGGGTGAACAAGTTTTAGAGCATATGAAGGAAGGGAACATCTAGAAGCCAGACTGAGGATACAGGAGACTACCATTGGCAGGCAGCAGCAAGCTCCAGGGATCATGATGGAAGGATGTGGGGAAGGATGGGGATTTTACATTCTCTCTTAAACAGTGTTGCTTTATAAAAGTGTTCACGTGTATGTTACTTAGTTTGTCTGGAGAAATGATAAAATGTGTCCTCCAGGAGCTAATTTGATCCTTAACATACTTTGTGATACCTCTGTTACAGGAATGGTTTGCAGTATATGTGGAACTTAATCAGCAAATTGCCGCACTCTTAAATGCTGGGGATGAGGAAGATCTTGTGGAACTAAAGTCACTACAGCAACAACTTAGTGATGTTTGTTATCGGCAGGCCAGTCAGCTGGAATTCAGGCAAAATCTCTTACAAGCAGCTCTTGAATTCCATGGTGTTGCACAAGATGTAAGTGTCTATTCTGATCGCTTCTCTTTTCCTCAGATAATCTGAACAATCCACACATAATTTTTGCAGGTTTGCATGTCTGCTCTAATTATTTTCCTTGAACAATAATGTAATTTACTGGTGGGGGTAACGTGATAAAATTTTCTGATTTAACAAATGATTCTAAGTCATACTGCATGCAATTAAACCTTTGATTGTCTAACTAAAGTATTCCAAACCAGTAGATATATTTCATTTTGACTGTTCTTCAAAATGTATGCTTTTTAACATAGATGGAAATGGTAGTGTCCATAATTTTTTGCACTCTGCTGACCTGGATGTTCTCCTTTGTCTTTCTGGTGCATGCATCTGTGTGTTCCATCTTCTAGATAACATGTACTCTGATTATTTGTTCTTGTCTCTTAACAGCATAATGTTTTCAAGTGTAATTGTGATAACCTCATTAGATAAACCTCATTCATCATTAAACACTTTAGATTCTGATTACATCAGGGTTGTCTCTTTGGTGTCCCTCTGCTTTAGTTGTCTCAGCAGTTGGATGGCTTATTAGGGATGTTGTGCGTAGATGTAGCACCAGCTGATGGAGCATCGATTCAGCAAACTTTAAAACTGCTTGAAGAGAAGCTGAAAAGTGTTGGTAAGCAGATTTTAAAAATGCTGAAACATAAGAGTTCTTTTTTAAAAAAAAATATCATTATCATGGTTACACAATTAAGTCAGCTTATACTGAACTAATTATTATTTGCAGGGAACACAGGAAAAAGTAGTATTAAAGGGGTTTATTCCCTTGAGTGAGTCTAATTTTTGCTAAAAATTTTTACTTTTCATTGTGATTAGGCACTCCTCCCTTCATTGGGCCTTTGGCCTTTTTGTTTACTACAGGTGCTATATCTTGCATATCCTAGGAACAGTGAAGTTATTTGTAGTGCATGCATAAACTGTAATTAGTTGTGAAGTGTTCTGTGGTAAACTCTGTATGCCCCGAACTGTGTTTTATGCAATGATTTTTGTTGTTGCTATATCCTAACCTTGTGAAAAAATAGTTGGTTTGGTTCTGTGCATTTGTTTCTCTGCCTGGGAATATGGTCAGGGTTACCTAGTTTCTGAGGAGGGAGTGGTCCCATTTCATTAAGCTAGCTCTTAATGAAAGCTCCGTTACTTTTGTCATCGGGACCTTTTAAACGTTTCCACAGTAAGAAATGCAGTGAACTTTCCTAGGCCAAGATGTGAAAATGGGAAGGGACTGTCCATTGAGGGAAGGAGCAGAGGAAGCAGGTGTAGAAAGTGGTGACATGTGATCAAATCAGATTAATTAATTGTGGAAAACAGCTTCAGGGACTTGGTTTCAGAAAAACATTTTTTGTATTGACGCTTTATTTGCTTGTAGCCTAATTGTTAGTTTAACAGATGACATGCATAGTATATGTTCAATACACCAAATGAAATTTATTTTAAAATATCAGTAGTTTCCTTAAGTCATACTTTTCCTTAAAAAAAAAAGGAGAGAATTTCTCTACACATGTCTGACTTGGAATATTGTAAATATATCCTAATGTTGCTCCTGTGGTGCGTAAGTTGGACTTGACTTTACAGCTTTCGGCATCCCTTTACACTGATAATACACCATGTGAGTGTCTTGAAATCTCACAAATTTTACACTGTTTTTAAACAAAATATTTACATTGTTGTCCTAAAAATAGGAACACAAGAAACAGGAAAAAAAAATAGTAAAATTTATTTGTAAAAATAGAAATTAACATACTTTCTTCCTGCTTTCAGTTTTTAAAAGAAATTATTATCTATGGAGATTTGTGTTTTAAACATTCCCTTTAGGGAGAATTTGGTATGAGAGCTCTCCGTTTAAAAGGATTTTATTCCTTGAGATGTTCAGAGGACTCCATCCCAATGTGGTTTAATATATAAAGATTTTATGCTTGGATTCCAAGTGCAGTATCTGCTGAGAGGATTTATTTGAGGGAGGGAAAAACACCTTAGTTAAGAGATTAAATCTAATAACTTTTATTTTAGATGTGGGATTGCAAGGTTTGCGTGAAAAAGGTCAAGGTCTGCTGGATCAGATCTCCAATCAGGCGTCCTGGGCCTATGGAAAGGATGTAACCATTGAAAATAAAGAAAACGTGGACCACATACAAGGAGTGATGGAAGACATGCAGCTTAGGAAACAAAGGCAAAGTTTGACTGTTAATGTTAATTTTACCAAGACAACATACTAACTAAAATGAAAAATTGTATAATTTATATTTTACATACAAACTAAAGGTTCTTACCTGTTATATAGTAGGCATGTAATAGGCTTTTGATGAATATAATAGTTATTATATATAATTGTACTAACAAATTAATGACAATTTGTTCAATTACCTGGTATCTTTTCCTCTTTTACTTAATAGTGAAATTTTGAGTTATACTAAAGTGCTTAACATTCTGTACCTTAGGACTCTGCTTTGCTTTGCTATAAGAAAATCTTTTTGGAGAAACTTACATTTCCATTTTAGTTTAGAGTTGCTGTTAAATCTGCCATCTGTATTGATCTAATTCTTCATGTCTGTTTCTTATAAAATGTCACACTTTTTTGTGCTCATGTTTGCTGTACAGGGATTAGACACAGTGGACTAATGTTGATGCTCACTTTGATATAGGACTAGGAATTCAAGGGATTCTTTGAAAACATAATTTGCAACAGCCATTGCAAAGTGAAAGATCAGAATCACATAGGCAAGCGTACATAACCTAGCATGGTTGTACCAAAACTTATACACTTAGAAATGTTGAGGTCACCAACAGAACCTCACAGAAACTCTCCCCTACAAAAGTAGACAGTCACGAGGCTGGAATTCCTTCTGCACCTGTCCTGTATCTGTGGATTCCTCCCCACAAAGGGAGAGCCATCCTCTGAGAAAGGATCCTGCCTTTTAGGTTCTGATTTGCCGTCTTCATTAACTCCCTTTCTCTATTCTGAGTCCTGCCCCTCACTTAAATGCTCAAATGTCTCCAGTTAGAATATAATGAAGTATGTTCCTGGTATGACTGAATGAAGAGGTCCATCTTCCTTTCTTCCCTTTGTCTTATGGCATTAAGCTCTTCCTCACAGCTAAGTTGTTTGCAGGTCTAAACTGCATTCCTTACTAACTCCACCTTACTTTTCATCCTCTTGAGCCTGACTTCTGACCTCCACTTCACTCCTTTTGTTCTCATTGGTGTTACCAACAAGACCATATGTGATGAACATTGATCTTGTTCAAAATCCAGAGAATGTTTTAGTCCGGTCTGCTTGATTATGAATGGCACTGGACACAGCTGACTTATAGGTTCTCTTCAAGACTCCCTGACAGCTGTGTCTTCCTGAAACCATGGTCCTCCTCCTGGCGCTGTTTCTTGGTAATTTCTTCTCAGATTTCTTGTTTTGTAACTAAACACTGCTTCCAGGGCTTGTTCTGAGGCCAAATTCTCTTCTTGATTTGCTCTCTCTGCAAATCTCACTACTTTAATGATTTTTAAAAATATGATGTGGTTGAATAGTTGTAGCTCTTTCCAAGCCCTCTCCTGTGCTCCAGACTCAGTTCCGGTCGCCTGCTCCATGTCTGCAGTGGGATACTCTGTGTGCTCCTCCAAGCCTGTTATCTTCAGATTAGAACAATTTTCTATTTTTTTTAGTTTTATTGATTTTATTTTTTAAATTCAGAACAGCAGAATGCATTACAATTCTTATTACATATAGAGTACAGTTTTTCATATCTTTGTATATAGACTATGTTAATGCCAATTCATGCCTTTATACATGTACTTTGGGGTTTTTTTTGCATTACAATTCTTATTACACAAATATAACACAATTTTTCATATCTATGTTTGTATATAAAGTATGTTGACACCCAATTCGAGAAACATTTTCCTCCAAAACTTGCTCCTTGCTTTTAATTTCTTATTCAGGGTAAAATTACTGTCAGCTACAAAACTTGGAATTTATCCTAAAATCCTTCATCTTCCTCATTCCTTATACCTAGTCAAATATTCAAGTGCTGTTGTTACTGAATCCCATGATTTTTTGTTCAAGATTTTAGATCTCAAGTGCCGCTGGTCTGGCTCTTCTTCAGTCTGGTATGCAGGAGTAATCTGCATGGAGTACAAGAGTGGTGTTAAACCTCCTTCTGGGACTTTCTCTTTTTTCAGATGAAGTACAGTCTTACTGGAATGGCCGGAGACTTTTTCTTATCCACTTCTGCAGAGTCTCATGCTTTTCTGACTTTCCCACTAAATTGTATGGTTGTTTTCAGTTTCCTTGAGAACATCAAGTTGTTTCATCCATCACTGGGAGTATTACTTTTCTCATTTTCTATCTAGCAGATTTCTACTTATCTTCCAAGACTCAGATAGACTTATCTTAGGAAGTCTTAGGATTTCTAAGGCAGGTGAGTCACTTACTCCAATTAAACCTTTTTTGTGACTCCATTATATCATTTGCCACATTGTATAAAGTTCATCCTCCAAATTGGAACTATCTTTTTAAAAAATTTTAAAAAAATTTTTTTAGTTATACATAACAGTAGAAAGTCTTTCAACATATCATATATACATGGAGATAACTTCCCATTTTTGTGGTCATACATGATATGGAGTTACACTAGGTTGTGTGTTCACATATGAACATATGAAAGTTATGTCTGATTCATTCTACTGTCTTTCCCATCCCCCCTCCCCTTATTCTCACTCTGCCCTGTCCAATTTAGACCTTCACACACACATGCCCCCCATTATGAGTATCTTCTGCATATCAGAGAGAACATTCAGCCTCTGATTTTTGGGACTGGCTTCTTTCACTTAGCATGATAGTCTCCAATTTCATCCATAAATGGCAAGTGCCATAATGTCATTTTTCTTTATGGCTGAAAAATATTCCATATGGATATATATATATACCACATTTTCCTTCTCCAATCATCTGTCAGAGGGCACCTAGGTTGGTTCCATAGTTTAGCTATTGTGAATTGAGATGCTATAAACATTGATTTTGCCATGTCACTATAGTATGCTGATTTTAAGTCCTTTGAGTACATGCTGAGGACTGGGATAACTGGGTCAAATGATGGTTCCAGTCCAAGTTTTCTGAGGAATCTCCATGCTTCTTCTAAGTTGGAACTATTTTAATAGCAGAGAAAATGTTTTATTTTCCCTATAACCTGGTACAACTCTTGAATATATATTTTGATATTTTTATCATTAAGGTGTCTTACATTAAGTTCATTTGGCTTATCTTCTTGATGATAAGTTTCAGATTTTAAAAATAATTATCATCACTTCTATTTAATACCTTAAAGAATTACTTTACACAAGTTGCTTCTTAATATTATGCTATGATTTTTATTGATACTATCTCCCTAATAGCCTGTGATACCTCTGGAAGGACCATTCTTTGTTGTTATTAAACTTTCTTTAAGGACATCAACTGTAGGAGAGCCCAGTGCCTGTGGGGTAACTTCTTGTTGATATTTGGGACTGCAATAGGAGTCCCCCTTATCTTCTGCAGCACCTGAATTACATGGGAGTGAAGGAAATTGGTCAGAGTTGAGATAGATCAAGATACTTTTATCGTTTCAGCCATATATTATCCAAGCACACTGCAGAGAGATAGAAAATTCTCTTAATTGTGTTCCTTCCACCCAAACATCAATGGAGTTCTTTTCCCCCCCTTTAAGAATGTAAATGGAGAGTTTAAAAAGGAATTCAGTTTTAAATATTATTCCATCTAGTATAATTCAGTGAAAAGTATTAATTTAAAAAATTTTCCTTGGAACATTATCCCTAAAGCTAGTAGTTGAGAAACTTCACAGTTTTTAAAAGATTTTTTTAAAGATGGACATAATATGTTTATTTTATTTATTTTTATGTGGTGCTGAGGATCGAACTCAGGGCCTCACATGTGTGAGGCAAGTGCTTTACAGATGAGCTATAACCCCAGCCCTGAGAAACTTCATATTTTTATCAATGAAGCTTGTTTGATGCTGATTGTCAGTGGCAGTTTGTTTGGGTTGTAGTTACTATTGCATTTATACTTTGCTTCAATATTTTACAGAATCTATGCTATCCTCAAAAGGGTTTGTCTTTCAGGTATTTTGAGGTTTTGATGTAACATAGAATAGATATCCTTAAACCTCTTACAAAGAAACACATGCAGTTTCCATAGTGTAGGACTAAATATTTTAGTATATTATAAAACATATATGCCAGATGATGATGTTATTGTGGAAACCAAAACAATAGACTAAATGTATGTTTGGATTTATTAGATGTGAAGACATGGTAGATGTGCGAAGGTTAAAGATGCTTCAGATGGTGCAGCTGTTTAAATGTGAAGAAGATGCTGCTCAGGTAAGGACCAGACGGCCACATTATATGGCTATCATTTCTTAGAAGTACAATTTCATCTAACTGTGAACAAAAGTGTACTTCTTATGTTCCTAAGAAAGTAAATTCTTAATCAAATCTAGCTTATCCTGTTGAAGAATAAAATTTGGTTCTTCTAGCTAGCTTACTGATTTCATTTGGCTTATCCTCTTGATGAAATCCTCTATTGTGTTAGAGTTTGGAATTATTTATTAACATTATTATTGACTAGTAGTTTGTTAGTTATATTCCAGAGTAAAGGCAATTGTAGCACATTGCTTTCTAACCCATAGGTGAACTTCCAATGCTAGACAGTTTGATATTTTGTGAAGTTAATATTAGAACATTCTTTCATCTTGATGTAGAAGAATTTATGATTTCTAACAGTGATATGCATCTGTAATGAGATCCTAGTAAGTCTGTTCTACAGAAATGCATGCTATTCTATTATGTGATGTGTATTTTAAGAGTGCTTCTGTAGTAGGCTTTGCCTTCAGAGTTTAAGAACATTTGAGAGTAGGAGAAGAATCTGAGGGGCATTGGATCAAATGAGCCATTGACAACTAGTTATAATTAATGGACTAACCAACCATAGTATAGCAATTTTTATATATGTGATGTTTTGATGTAAGAAGTAAAGAATTATGAATGCAACTTCACTGTTTTGTATTTTTATTTAGGCGGTTGAATGGCTAAGTGAACTTCTGGATGCTCTACTTAAGACCCACATCAGATTGGGTGATGATGCTCAGGAAACGAAAGTTTTACTGGAAAAGCATAGAAAATTTGTTGATGTTGCACAGGTGCAGAACTGGTTATCTTCCTTTTCTACAAGCTCAGTGTTTGACTAGCTTTCTGCATGATTATAATGTAACTTAACCCTCCAAGTCCAAGAAGGTTAGTTTTGTTATTCCAGAAATATCACAGAATTAAGAAAATGTCAGCTGGTGCATCAAAACTAGCCTGCATAAACTTGAGAGGGTTTAAATTGCCGCAAACACAGGTTCTGTATGCTCCCTCTGATATATGTTACATGTTATGGTATTTTTAAGACAATCCAATTATTCATTCATAGAAGCTAATATGAAATGTATATTAATAGCACTAAATTAGAAATCCCACTTTTTGTATTTGACTTATGTTAGCACAATAATACAAAGTTGGTTTTGTGCTGAAAAGTATCATAATGTATTTTCCCTATTGATTTCATTCAATTGTAATAGGTAGAGCTTCCTATGTGGACTATCATGAGACTAGTTTCACTCACTTGTTTTGGTAATTAATGAGCTGTGGAATTTTGCCAGTGGAATTTAGCAGAGATGGGGAAAACCTTAAAAAAAAGAAGAAGAAGAAACTTATAAACTAAAAATATTACTTCCCCTTCCTTACTTATGCATGTAGATCATTTATAGTAATAAGCGACACTAGATTCATTCAGCATTAATTTCCAGTGGCCTTACTTAATTGCAACCAGTCTCCCAAAACCTTTCCCCTCCTCTTCAGAATTCTTTTATTATAATTCTGTTTCCTTTTTTTTTTAGAGTACTTATGATTATGGTAGACAGTTGCTGCAGGCCACAGTTGTGTTGTGCCAGTCTTTACGGTGCACTTCTCGGTCTTCTGGGGACACACTTCCTCGATTGAACAGGGTGTGGAAACAGTTTACGATAGCGTCCGAAGAGAGAGTACATAGGTTGGAAATGGCCATTGCATTTCACTCAAATGCTGAAAAGGTTTGCCCCTTTTGAAATGTAATCTCAGTATTATTTATTGTATATGTTTAAAATGTATGTATTAATAATGTAATGTTCAGATTAATCTATTGGTTAAAAATTGTATGAGTTTCATTATTAACATTGGTTTATATGAACTACATGGTCTTATATGTCCAAATTAAATTTCCTTAATCCACTCGAATGTTGGAGGACTATGGTTGGAGAATCCCAGAACCTCACTTTGCTCTGCTCCTCTCCTCACTTTGCTCTGCTCCTCTCCTCTCCGAGCTGATGTCCACAGGTGCTCTGTTCACTAGAGTGTCATTACATCAGTCTCTTTCTTTATGCCAGGAAAGGAAACTTGGCTTTGACAACAAGTACTAATTGTCACTTTTTTTTTTTTTTTTAAACTGGTGATTCAGCCCAGGGCACTTTGCCACTAAGCTACATCCCCAGCCTTTTGCCTTTTTAAAAAAATTTATTTTGAAACAGGATCTTGCCAAGTTGCCGAGGCTGGTGTCCAACTGCAGTGCTCTTGCCTCTTGTCTCAACCTTCTGAGTTGCTGGGATTATAGGCCTGCACCACCACATCTGGCTAATTGTCACAAATTTTTAAAAAGTCACTTTGTGATTTTATAACTTAAGGTAAAGACTGTTCAACTAAAATAATGAGAATAGGAATTAAAAGAAGAAAAAAACCTTTTCCATATGTTATCTCTATACTTCATTCCCTAATTTATTATTCATTGAATTCCAGAAACCAACAGTAAAATTTATAGTTTCATTTGGACACATTTACTTGGGATGGGCAGATTTTTAATAGAATTTTTTTCTTACATATTGTACCCAGCCTTACATTTCCATTCTGAAGAGGAGCTTTGCTTTATAGTTAACTTTGTTCTGATTTCTTAACATTGAAAGTTTATCTATAGGGATGTTAAATATATTTTAAGATACCCTGTATATGTTTAAAAATGTGTTAATTTTAATAATGTAATTATCTCATTAATCTGTTTGTTAAATTTTGTATGAATTCCATTATTGACATTTGTCTGCATATACTAACTACCTTGTCTTAGATGTCCAAGTTAAATTTCCTTAATCCACACTAGGAAAACCTAAGTTGTGATGCCTAAGTGGCAGCCTGGTCTGTAGAACAGAACAGTTGTTGCAAGAGTTAAGCCATCTTTGTTTTCTTTTCTCTCCCCCAAAAGTTTGTATTTTTTTTTCTTGTAATTAAATTTAAATGGTGTAACTCAGAGGAGAAAAAAAAGAATAGCATGTCTTCAAGGGTGTTAAAGCTTCCTAAATTTGAGTGATAAGCAGTAAATTCAGCAGATGAGTTACTAAAGTGCCTGCCTATCTCTTCTCATCAATTACATGTTTGTACTCTAAGTATATGTTGTTTCAAATTCTTATTTAGCGGCACACACCTGTAATCCCAGTGGCTCAGGAGGCTGAGACAGAAGGATCATGGGTTCAAAGCCAGCCTCAGCAAAAGTGAGACCCTAAGCAACTCAGTGAGACCCTGTCTCTAAATAAAATACAAAATAGGGCTGGAGATGTGACTCAGTGGCTGAGTGCCCCTGAGTTCAATCCCTGGTACCCGCCCCTCCAAAAAATTTATATTTAATTTCTGAAGTCTATGAGCTTCCTAAGGACAGATTGTTTCATTCAGTCACATACCAAGATGCTAAATAAACATACAGTAAAAGTTTTTAAGAAATGGTTGCCTATTGAGTGAGAAAATACTTCTTAAGCACAGGTCAAACTTATTTTCCAAATAGTAGTCTACTTATTTTTTTCTTGGAAATCACCATAGACCATTTTGTACTCTAATTATATATTATTAGTAGGGATTATGTATTTCATTTTTTATTAGAATTTCTTGAGCCACTTTTACTAGTAATAATTCAGCTTTGAACAGTGATGTACATGAAGATGCTACGAATAAAACAAAAACCACCTTTTCCACTTACTTCATTTGCATGAACTTGATTTCCTTTTTTTGTCTCTTGATTGAGGTTGCCCTTTTGTTTTTTGCAGATTTTACAAGACTGTCCGGAAGAACCTGAAGCTATTAATGATGAGGAGCAATTTGATGAAATTGAAGCAGTTGGGAAATCACTTTTGGATAGATTAACTGTTCCTGTAGTTTATCCTGATGGGTATGGTGCATGCTTTTATATAATTTTATCTTTTCTTTTTTGTTGTTGTTGTAGGTGAACACAATATTTTTATTTTATTTATTTATTTTTATGTGGTGCTGAGGATTGAACCCAGTGCCTCATACTTGATAGACAAGTGCTCTATCACTGAGCTATAACCCCAGCCTGGAAAAATCTATTCTTTAAAAAGTAAAGAAAATTAAGTTTGGTTCACATCTTCAATTGGTTTAAACTGAAAAAATTCCAAGCTTAGCTGTTAGCAGAACTCACAGTTGGTGCTTGCTGACATCAGATGTGTTTCTTCTTGACAGCTTGTTGTAGAAAGACCATCGCTGACTAGACTGAGGCCCATGGTTTTAGCTTGGCTGTGAGGACAGGAGCAGTGTGACTTTGGGCTTCATTTAGGAAAGGGGAGGCATGGGAAAAGGACTGATGTTTAGTGAGCTTGAGTTAAACTCTTCACATTCACAGACAATGCCAAGGTCTGTATCATTATTCCTGATTTAGAAAAGATTAAGTAGGCTTCCGTGTGTTCGAGTTAGGATATGCTCTCAGGTGTGTGGGACTCCAAACCCATTCTCTTTTCACTGTTCTATATGGCATCCTAATTTTTTTTGTGTGTAAAATGATGGTATCCTGATTCTGACATGTTTCATTTCAAATGGTCCAGAATAATTAAGAGTAATTAATAATCTGATGCAAAATAAATGGGCCAGTAAAAGACTCAGAAGGAACTTCCACCCTGGTGATCTAGATTTTCTCAATCAAAGTGATTTAGAGGTAGTCCAGAGGATATTTAATTCAAATGATACAGAAACCAAACCATCAAATGAAAGTTCAAGTGTCCTTACTTTGTGTTAAGAGTGTGTTGGAGGCGAGTGCAGACTCTGGTACCAGGGATCCTGGGCTCCACCTCTTACCAGCAGTGACAACTTGGGCAAGGTACTTGACTTCTTAGTGCCTCAGTTCCCTCATCTGAAAACAGGATGGGACAATTGTGCTTCTTCACATTATAGGAGCAGTGGTGTTCTCTGCTATTAAATGTGTGGAATGTATTCAAAACAGACATGAGACATATAAGCTATTGCTGTGTCATGAACTTCTGATAATAATTGGAGATTGATATTTAAAAGATACTATTTCATTACCTTGAAAGAAGATTATACATGATGTATACTTAATCTCTAGTCATACTAAACTTGCACTATCTGAAGTCATATTACACATCTGTAATAAAAGAGAACAAAATTCAGCTAGTAACAGTATTGTAGGGGTGATTCTGGCTCTTCTGTGCCAGGGACCCTCACCCCTCTCCTGTGTTCCCAGTTGTCACAGTCAGTTATCACACTTCTTGGGTCAGTTAGGAGCATCTGCCCTTGGTGATTTTACTTGAAGTACTCTTCCTGTGATCCATGGGTAGCCCAGATGTCATTTCTTCTTAAGATAAAAGAAAAGAACTGTATATTCAAATTTCACAAGCACTCACTTTTAATACTTGTGGTTGTTATTTTATTCCATTTTATATTCATATATATCCAAGCATATGTGTATACATTTATATATGCATTTATATATTGGCATATGGTATTTTGTTACACTAAATATGTCTCTCAAATGATCTCAGTTGTGTTTTCCATAATTACTAATACAATAATAATAATCTGCTTTTGTTATGCAAAGTTTATATGACAGATTATTCAGATTTATCTTTTAAATAAATTGTCCTGGTAAAATAAAAGTAATTAATGGTCTTTCTGAATTTCCCCCACTGCCCCCCAAATCCTGATTTATTTTTTCCCCCATTGTGTGACCTTGGTTAAATCATTCTAGGCCTTTTTAAAATTTTGTTCATTTGATGGTGCTGGGAATGAGACCCAGGGCCTCACATATCCTGTGCATACATTCTATCACTGAACTTGACTCCCAGCCCTAAGCCTTAATTTTTTGATCTAAAAAACAGAGGTTAACCAGGAATTTCCAAAAACCCTTCAAGCTCTGACTCTGAATGTAGTATCTTTGCAAATAATAGAAAATGAAATTACTTTTGTCTATTAATGTACCAAACCATGTCTTTATATTTTTTTGTATGAGTGTATGTGTGCTAGAGATTGAATTTAGGGCTAGTGCATGCTAGACAAGTGCTTTACCATTGAGCTACATTTCCAGCCCTTTTAAAATTTTGTGACAGGGTCTTGCTAAGTTGCCCAGGCTGGCCTTGAACTTGCAATTCACCTGCCTTAGCTCCTTTAAGTAGCAGAGATTACCGCTACTCGAAGGAGCTGTTTGACCTTACCTGGCTCCAAACCATATTTTAATATCAAAAATAATTCTTTACTTGCCTGCTTTATTCAATAATTGCTGTGTGCAGCTCTTAGCATGCAAGTACAGATTTTACGTTGGTGTTTGCTTATGGACCCAGAAATGAAAGGCAGAATATTGCCAGTGTTGCTTCATTTGTTTTATTGACTATCATAAGTATAAATGATATAACATTTATTTATATTTAACATTTAACTCATCATGTCTTAACATATTTTTTTGCTGTTTAAAAAGTATTTTTCCTACAGCATTACCCTCAAGAGATAAACATTTTGGACTGTGAATGAAATAATTTCTACTCAGAGGTCATATTATATAGGCTCTACTTAATGGCCTCCCCCCCTTCCTGTTGCATGTGCTGTACTTTAAATGAATTTGTATTAATCCGGGATTTTTCTGTGTGTTTTGATTTTAGAACCGAACAATATTTTGGGAGTCCAAGTGACATGGCTTCTGCTGCAGAGCACATCAGAGACAGGATGAAATTAGTTAGTCTCAAAAGGCAGCAGCTGAGACATCCTGAAATGGTGACCACAGAGAGCTAATAGCTACCAGCGTCCCACAGACCTACAGTTCACATTCCCGCATGTCGTCGGCATTCTGCAGCATTAGCCACAGTACATTAAGACACATCTCACAGCAGGATAAGCCTCATTTCTTCCCACAACACGTTTCTCTCTACATGCTAACACCTCGCAACTACCAAGGCATAATTATTTAATATGCTTTGAGATCATAGACTCCAGGTATCTTAAAAGAAGGAAACTGTAAACATTGCACTGAAATCTTGCTTTCAAGCTTTACATGACCTGTCAGTTTGTAGATGAACAACTGATAATAAGCTTTGAATGGTGCTAATAAGAGTTTAGGAATTCTCCTTATAAAAAATGGTCGCCCTTCCTCCCCAGGTGTGTAGTAAATTTAGACTGTAGTTAAACTATCATCAGTAGATTTTGGCATCCTCAACATTTTACTTTGTTATTCTTTAAGATTGATTATTTTTATTGTGTCAATATGAAGAACATCGTTCAGATCTTTGATATATCATATTCATTAAAAACATTTTTCCTATTTGTATTGATAATGTATTAAAAGTTGTTTGTGCTTAATAAAATGCTTCTTTAAACATCTTATTTAATTTGGTAGTTATATCCTATTTTCAAACATGAGTGCCTTATCAAAAAGGGCATTCTTAGGACTGTGAGGATGGTTTAATAATTGTTTTTTCAAGGTTGTTGCATGTATTTTAGCCAGAAAATTCATATGTATGCATGTGTATATAATAAATAAGCATGTTTTATCATGAAAAATAATTGTGAAGAATAATTTAGATCTTTAAGAACTTATTAATAATGGGATACTATTTCAGTGTTTTCTTTTCTTCAACTTCAAAAATTTTATCCAAATTATTAACTATCCTGAAGAAATTTTGTCTTTGGGAGAGGAGGGCTGAGGAAGAAGGCATACATAATAACTTCAGTGTAATCCTTTATATCAATCAAAGTAATCTTTCTGGAACTAAAATAGTAATTGTTAATAAAATTTAATTTCTCATGACAGACTAGAGGCAAAATCATTTCTGAAGTAGTCTAATAACAAAAACTGTATGACTCCTTTAGAAATAAAATTTATCACAAAATGCTAGTGTTTTTACATTTGTATTAAGTTTAAATTGTAAAATGCATATAATTTAATTTTTGTGTTAATTTTTATGCCAGAAGATTTCTTAAAGATGAAAAATAATTTTTTAGACTTGTGATCAGTACAACATTATGCAAAGAATTATGTGCTGGTTCCTTTTCATGATCCACAAACAAGTTCATGTATCTCTGATGCAAAAAACCTCCCTCTGAACCTGCTGGTTTCTCCAGCCTTCTTCACTGCCAGACTTCTTGAAGAAGTCCATATCCCTTGCCCTACATCATCATTTCATCTTGCAGTCTGGTTTCACACAGCACTCTAATGAAACTCTTCCTTTTGAAAATCAGGAATGGTTTTCCACCTACTGAGCTGAGTGTTGTTTTTTCTCAGCCGGCATCTCTAACCCTTCCATTTATAAAATTGAGCAACCTTTCCTAGGCAGCATCTCCTCCCTCGAAGATGCTATCCTCTGCCATAACTGTGAGTACAGTCACGTAATTCATCTTTAAAATGTGTACTAACCATGTGTGCTCTTAGATTCTGTCCTCAGAATGCTTGTGGCTCTTCTTTAGGTATCTCCTCCTTAGGGTTTCTGTTTTATCACAGCATCGTGCATCACATATCTGGTCCAAAACACTAGACTTGTTCTTTCAACTGCCTGCTTAACATTTCAGCCCAGGGGAAGGATTTCTCCTACTGCTCACCCTGTCCTCCTGGCATAATTTTGTTAGTTAATGGTGCAGCCCTTTATCCTAGTCAAACATGCCAGATAATCTGGGGCAAAATTCAACTATTCCCTCTTGTCTTATGCTACCCCTGCTTCTGAGAACATCAAGGAAGTTCTTTCTGTACTTGATAATCCTCTCAGCTTTTTAGGGCTTTACTCCTATGAGTATGAACTTTTGTGATTCTTCTTTTGGTCTTCCTGATGGTGCTAGCCACAATCTACACTTCTATGTAATATTCTGCTATGTTATAAGCTCTTTTGAAGGAAAGGTCTTGTCCTACTAGTTCAGTTCCCAGGGTTTGAGTCACATGGAATAGTTGTTTACTCCTACATGGGTTCCGTTTTAATCACTGAAAATAATCCCTTTCATATTTCAACCTGAAGTTTGTTTTCAGCATACTCATTTCCTAACGTTAAGACTGAGGAGTACATCACCTTATAAGGAAGTCATTTGGTATTTTATATATTTAGTTGTGTAGCTACTTCAGATATTTAGAAGGTTCATCATCTTCTACTAAATTTCAGAGTTGTTAGAATTTTTTTATTAAGACTTTCTTAAAAGAAGAACTGACTTGTTAGTATTTAGACCATCAACTCACGGATTCAAAATTGCCAAATGAGTTCATTTTTTTATATATTTTAAACTCTCCTGCCCACAAAAAGAGTATAGTAAGACAAAAGTTGGAAATGTTATTTGTAATTTGAATATTTCACATAAGCTAGATATACTTTTAGCAAAAATAAATACTGTTGCTCTTCATTTGTAAATTTGCTGCTATTTTCTATATATGTTTCTGTACATACTCATAGAGTTACAAATGAAAGCCCAACAGTGCCCAGATATGATTTTTTTTCATGTGGTCATAGTTCACTTACAGCGCATGTGAAGGAAGCAGCTACAGACTGGAATCACAAGCCCTTGGTGTGTCGTAGATGAACACTGGCCTGCAAATGTAACCGAAAAAGAACCAATTATTTCTCATGGTACATGCCACAACTTCCCATGTTACTTTAGCCCTGCTCAGGGAATTGCTATAATGTTGGTTGGGCTAGTTTTGTTATGTATTTTGTCTTTGGGTTTGAAGGATTTATTTTTTTTTCTCTTGCTTTCTGATTGTATATTTGCTGCTGCGAGAACTCAATATATAAAGACATTTTAATACCTATTCTTTATTCATGTCTAACCCAGCAGGGTTATCAGATAAAGATGACACCTTCATTTCTGATCCACTTTGCTTGGTTCCTAGTCCTTGTTGTTGGTGACCTTATTCTTCTAGGGTGGCTCATTGATGGTATTGGTGAAACTGCGTGTGTAGTCTTGCCAGCTGGGAAACTAATGGTAGATCTAGGCTTCATGACCAGATAGAAGATTGGGTATGTCTCTCACTTAAAGGGATTTATACTGGCTATTGCATCTGATGTTAGTCTGAGTGTGTTTTTTGCTTCATTACCTTGTCAGTTGCTGTATGATGTGCTATTCAGTTTATCATTGTTGTTACTAGGGTCACACTCCTTTAATGTGAGTTTGACAGTGGGTTACTTTTACTACAGTGCTAAGCAAACCACATTTTCTGATCGAAAACCTTTATAATCAGTGGTATGATTGGTATGATAGTAAGGTGACTTGAGTCTGTCCCACTGTGCAGTGTACATCTGAAGAGCTAATTCAGTGTTTTCTACTATACCTAAGTTACCTGCCAGTAGAGATTGGCTGCTGGTGTACACTTCTCCCATCTTCCCATCTACCCAAAGTGCACAGAAGCCTAAGAAGAGTAACCTCGTTATTAAAAACTGAATGTACTTATGGCTGCTAAAGCCCTCCATGTCTAGTCTATAGAGAACAGCACAGGCAAAAACAAACACCAATAAGTATATCGTAACCAGTGACAAGATTTGTATGATTATGGTATCTTCACTTAAGCCCTTAAGTGAAAGTTCTCTAGGATCAAAAGATGGGCTGAACATGACTGAACAGTTAATCGAATTGTTAAACTTAGCAATGTTAACTTTCAGTTCTAGAAATAAACACGTCTCAGTTGGGAGTAGAAAATATTCTGCTTGTTTGATGCCAACGAATACCTTGATGAGACAAAATAAGACTAAATTTAACAATTGATATTACTTGGCTTTAGTGTGTGCCCCAGAAAAATCTAGGTTTAGCTAAGAAACAAAGATAATGGAAGAACTGTAGAGGAATTATCATAAAAGCTAAACTAAGAATTATAGTGCCTATAATGGAAAGAGTTTGGAGTTTGAAAAGTTGGCTTCAACACCTGGCATTGCCATGTACTGTGACCTTGGTATTAAATCAGTGAATTTCTTTGGAACTGTAAAAGTTACACAAAATGGAAATTGTTATTGCTTTAATTATCTCTTCAGAAGAGAAAATAGAGTATCCTTTAATCTTGTTCTGTCTCAGATGATAAGCATGAGATGGCGGGGGCAACAGCATGCTGTTCATGTTTACCCCCTTAGCTCCATCCCTGTTTCACTATTGTGCAAGGAAAATATGCATTCAGAATTGTATCTGTGAAATATTACAAATATTACGGTGAAGTTGGTGAGTACATGGTAAGGCTTTAAACTGACCAACTCACTGTTGAGGGGGAAGATGATGTCACAATAAGATGGAAGACTAGTGATGAGTATTGTTTATTTTGAGGTTGACAGGGCATGACACAACTGTATTAATAAACCCAAGGAAAAGAAAGCCACACTTGGATTGTCTCTTAATAAATCACCCACCTGTAGAAACTAGTAGAACATAAATCTGTTGGGATATTTATAAAGTATTACAATAATGAGTTAAGAAAACACAATTTGAGACCAATGTTATTGGTGGTTATGGTTGGAGAAGAGCTTTCTCGGCAAATGCAGGTTGTGATGATAAACAGAAAAAGATGGTTCTTCTACCAGAGATTTAGAACTGAGGGTGTTGTATGACTTAGCATACATAAATACCGCGGAGGCTTTAAGATGGAAAATGATTCATGGATATGATGCCAAATATGACTCAATATCACAGCAGTAGTTTAAAGCAAACTTGAAAGTCTGAGAATAAACACTAGTCCTATACATCAAGTAAAAGCAGAACCTGTACTAGGACGTGAAGAACTTTGAGATCAAAAGAAAGCCAGAACTCTTAACTAAATATTATGACAGCCAGTGAGTGCACTTTTTGAAGAATCAGATTATTTTTGTGAGAACTCTATGAGGCCATATGAAACATATGATTCCTATATGTCATAATATAGGAATTCTTAGTTCTTAACATAGAACTAAAAATAGTTGTGAAGTCCATATATATTTGAGGGATTTTAAGTCAGGCATGTGGAAAACTATTTCTGACAAAAGGGCTCTTGAACTCTGGAAGCCACTTCTAAGTAAATCTTAAGGATATACCTTTAAAGTATTTACAGGTTGAATGCCACGTCTTCAGGGTGTCCAAATGTGTGTTTCACTTGGATATAGAAGGGTGATCAAGGTGTCCCTCCACTGAGAATATAGTGGCCCATTCACTATTTGATGCTGGGGATTGAACCCAGGGGCACTTAAACATGGAGCCCCATCCCTGGCCCATTTTTGTGGTTTTTTGTTTTGAGACAGTGTCTCAGTAAGTTTCTTAGGGCCTTTTATGTGGCTGGGGCTGGCTTTGAACTTAAAATCCTCCTGCCCCAGCCTCCCAGCTGTTGGGATTACAGGCATGTGCAGAAATGAGATGGTGCCTGGCGCATAACACCTTTTTTTTATTATAGTTACCCCAATTCTTTAGTTTTTAAGGTAGGGTAAAAACAAGAATGTTTCTTCATCTTGGTTTTTGGCATCAGTCTTCACAGCCAACAGATTTGCTCACAGTGTGCCATCAAGATGTGTTTTTTCCGAACGTGTGTGAGGATCGAAATATCACTTAGGCAATTTTGAACCAGAGTAAATTTGAGAAGCGATCACTGACCTCATGCTCTGGATGTCCTTTCTCAAGCACTTAGGAGGAACTTGATTCTAAATTTACATTTAATAGAAGAATTTATATAATCATACTGTCATGAGATCAATAATGAAGTTCTCACCAGCATCTTTTGGTTTTAAAAAATTGCACCCTATGTTTCATAACATTTTAAATAAAAATTTTCAACTGTGTAACAAAAATGTTAAAATAATTTTATGGTGTTCTTAGCTCCCGAATGCTAATTT